TTTCGAAGTCGTCAGACAAATGCAATTTGTTCTATGACGTTTTGCGAAAGAACAAAAAATTCGAATGAACAAATCAGCATGATCAGGCACTCCAGCAATTAAAAGAATACATGATGTCCCCGCCGTTACTTGCCAAACCCAAAGACGACGAGGAGTTACAGCTGTATCTACCCGTTTCAGAACACGCCGTCAGTGCAGTTTTGACGAAGGAAGAACAGGGGCAACAAACTCCGGTATATTATGTAAGTAAGTCATTAAACATCCTCGAATCCAGGTACGTCTTACTCAATGAGGCGGAGTACGAAGCGTTGATCGTCAGACTCACATTGGCAAGGGATCTAGGCATCAAAATCTTGGAGGTAAAATGTGACTCTCTGTTGATAATTAATCAAACTAACGGTGTTTATGCAGCAAAGGACCCCAAGATGACATCCTACTTACAAATTATCCTGGACCTAACAACGTCGTTCGACGAAATAACCTTCGAGCAAGTCCCAAGAGAAGAAAACACACAAGCTGACGCTCTGGCAGCAATCGGATCATGTCTGGGGGCAGAAATCAACAACAACGTCCCTTTTGTGCATTTGACAAGTCCAGCAATTGACAATCCAGAACTCGTCGCTGCCATTGAAACCCCAACACAAGATGATTGGACGCAACCATACATAACATATCTAAAGCACAATACTCTCCCAGCAGACAAAAAAGAAGCCACGACGCTCCTCTCTAAGGTAAGTAGATTCCTACTAATTGACGATGTTTTGTTCAAAAGGACTGTAGCAGGTCCATATCAAAGATGCCTGACGCCTCAAGAAGTTGTCAAAGTGCTAAAGAGCCTTCATGAAGGGGAATGTGGCAACCACACGGCCGGACGAAGTCTGTCTAACAAAGCTCTCAGATTTGGATACTATTGGCCAACCATGAGAGAAGACGCAATCACCTTTACTCAAAGATGCAAGCCTTGTCAGATACATGGATCTATCCATCATCAGCCCTCCGAGTCACTTCATCCAGTTCTATCACCTTGACCCTTTATGAAGTGGGGGATGGATATCGTCGGGAAATTGCCAAAGGCACCAGGACAAAAAGTATATGCTGGCAATGACGGATTACTTCTCAAAATGGGTAGAAGCTGAGCCATTCCGTCAGGTACGAGATGACGAGGTAATTTCATTTATCAAAAGAAACATACTTTGCAGGTTCGGTATTCCGTCAGAAATTGTCTGCGACAACGGATCTCAGTTCGTAAGTGCAAAGACCAGACGGTTCTGTGAAAGGTACAATATCAAGTTGGAAACGTCAACCCCCAGGTACACGCAATCTAATGGACAGGCTGAATCCAGCAACAAGATCATTGTTGCCAACCTGAAGAAAAAACTTGAGAAAGCACAAGGTAAATGGGCTGACGAGTTACCCTTGATACTATGGGCAGACAGAACGACACCAAAAAACGCAATCGGACAAACCCCTTTTTCTTTAGTTTATGGCTGTGAAGCGGTCATACCGGCAGAAGTAGAGGTGCCCTCTTCGAGATACGGACTTATGACCGTAGAACGAAACAACGTGGAATTAGTACATGATTTGGACACCATCGATGAAGTTAGAGAGAAAGCCAAGATCCGACTACAATCTTATCAACAAATGGTGGCTAAGAGCTTTAACAAAAATGTCCGAGCTAGAATATTTAAGAAAGGTGACTGGGTTCTACGAAGAGTATTCGGAAATGAAGCAAGTGGAAAATTCAGTCCCAATTGGGAAGGCCCGTACAAGATCATCGACATTATTGGACAGGGGGCATACCAATTGGAAGCAATAGATGGTAGACAGGTTCCTAGAAGTTGGAATGCGGTACACCTTAAACTTTTCCATTTTTAATTCTGTTATGTCTTATTTATCATCCAAGACGACTTACTAACTTAACCATCGGAGGGCCGTTGGCTCAAAACCAACGGCCAACTTTAACAGTTTGTGACGAATGCAGGGATATCTTGAAGCGTAAGCTTAGACAACTAGAGAAGCGGCCTACGAAGGTTACAAGACGTCAATCAGGCTCACAACGGACAAACATTTTTTAGACATCAAAATGGGAAGGGTTAGGCTGCCCATGAGAAATCATGGATCACAGTCCTAGCAGAGCCCATACAATGCGTTTTGGCCAAAACCTGCACACATATATGACAATGCACGTGCAACCAAAACATATATGACATCGCACGTGCAACAAAAAATACAGAACTACACAACGAAACAACATGCTCCAACATAAGGAGATAATACAAACGACAAACGTAATGCTATTTAAAGTTTTTGCAGGATATGAACCAGGTTCACACAACCCATCTCGCCATCTTCAACAACGGATGATGTTCCCTTCGCCGGATGAAGTGTCGACATCAATATGAAAAATGTTACAAATTTCTGTCCCTGAGCCGTCAAGGCAATTTTGGAAGAGAGAAGATAACATGTCAGCTTTCAGTTTTCGTGGTTTTAGTTGAGGAGACGGATTCGGTCGAAGGTTAATCCGAAGAAAGACGGAGACGTTTCGTCAACCGAAGTCATCAATATGTCACAACAAGTCGTTGATGAGTCAACAGACGCAAAGAACCAAGAGGTTAAGCATAGCTCTTTCAAAATTTCGACAAATTGCCGCTTGATGATTCGACCCATGCATCGTACGCGTTAACTTCTCGAAAGGGGGCAATTATTAGAGCAAGAATTTGACGGTTTATGTTGCATTAAAGAGGGTTGATCACAGAAGTTAATGAGGCTTAATGATGGCTGTTGAAATGGATTTGTGTTTATTATTATGGTTAATAACGATATTAAGGCAGGAGGTTACTTATTTTGAGCTGACCAGCATTAATGACAAGTTGTGAAACCGTCGGGTCAGAACCGTCAAGTCAAACCGTCCGTAACGGACAACTCGAGCTAGTGGAGCATTTGCAAGGCCTAATAACAATTATTGTAACGTCTTTATGTATTATCAGCCTCTTTAATATGGTTAATGAAGATATTGATTGTAATTGACCGGCCTTTATGACAGATTTGAAATCGTCATAAAGTGCGACCAACCCGTCAGTAACGTACAAAGCCATCATGAGAGCATTAATTACCCTTCCTATAAATAGGATATCCCTCATTGTAATCGGGCAGCGGACATTCAAATAATACACAAGCTTTCACTTTTATTCACCCATTTGTCATCTCCTTCATTGCTCTTGTACGAGACCCATTCTTCATATAATTTTCTTTTTTAATTAGTTTTAGCTTATCAAATTATTGCTTAAACAATCTCAAACAATTTGTCATTTGTGTGCTGGTTAAACTTCTAACATTTGTTATTATTTGTCTACAGTTTATCACATTAGCAGGATGTAATACTAGTTTGTTAGAAAAAGCGGCGAGTTCTATGTATGATTGTCATTATTGGTTTGATTATCCTCCGGGTTGTATTAGATGTACTCTCAATTATGATTGGATGAATGAAGCTTGAATTGTTTCCTTAAAAAATAACAATAAATCTGAAGGAGAAAGAAGTACTATTTGAATGATACTCTCTATGTTCCTAAATTAACTTTCAAAGTACATTTGACATCGAGATTAAGATATTGTGTATTGTTTGATGGAGAGTTGTTCACAAGAGAAAGAAATGTGTAATAATATGTAAGAATTGCTTTGAACCATTAATTGTTTATCAAAAAGGGAAAATGAAAATTTATTTTGGGACGACAAAACTAGAAATTTGAAAGTATAATGACGGACGGGGGAGTAGTAATCTCCATATGTCAATCCACGAATAGGAGTTGGATATTGCAAAATAGCAGCATTGTAATTTACCCGATCAAACAAGAATCCATCGAACATGATACCTTTCACACGAACGTCATACTCAAGATTGGGCCTGACTAGGCCCAAAACCCAACTAGTGAAAATCGGTCCAAGATTTATATAGTTGTTTATCGAGTCAGCTGGCCCATAATCATTAGTATTGGTTTATAATTTAAACCGAGTCCAATCAGCATTTGATTACTGCGGGGACATATTATAATCTTTCTTGTAATTCTACGTTATTTCATTATACTGAATAGATGCCTCTCTCTTGCATATTTCTTACCAGCCCTATGTCTAGTCAAGGTTTAATTTTTTGTTAACTAGCCTTCTTTCATATCATAAGTTTCAGGATCATTACATCAATCAAAGGAAAAACAAAACTGACACCAACTAAAATCCAACAACTACGACCGTAAACCCTATGATCAGACTTAGAGACGGTCACCCCTAAAAGAGTAACGCGAATCACTAACCATGTAGCGGGCTTGACACAACCATAGACGATGACAAGAAGCCAAATGACAGAATAAAAATAACTAATAGAAAAACTTCCATGGACTCTAGCACCTTGTACAACCCATGACGGTGGTTCAGGAGGAGCTTGTATCCTTGGTACCACTCTAATTGATCCTCCATTGTCAATCATCATCTAGCCTGCTCGAAATTTGTGCACCTCTCCTCGTCCCGCACTCATAGCAAATCCACCGCTAGCGATCATCTTCATCGTTGTCGTGCCCTTTCTACCCTGCTCACGAAGAAATTGATCGCCGAACTCTGGCTTCGATGTCGTCAAGCTTGGCCAATGATTCTTGTCAATCTGTCTCAAATCCAATCTCAGCGCCGGACACAAGTGAAGGGGATTCAGCGGCCGGAAGAACCAAAATTTAGATGTGCTAAGGAAAAAACAAACCCTAAACATGCTAGGGAGAGACTGCGGTGATCGCGATAATTCCCTAGTCAAGGTTTCATTAAAAGTTACAAAAAAACTTGGTTTGATAAATTACTTTGGTTAAATAAGCTTGACAAAGTTGACAGCTAGAGTGGAATATTAGATCAAATCTTGAATAACATGACTTATTTTGCTTGACCAAACTTAGGTGAGGGCGTGAGGCTGCAGGTGTATATATAAACCATACATACGCACCTCAAAATATAAAAACAGGAGGAAGAGGATATATATGTATAAGATGAAAAGAAATAATCATGGGACCTATCTCAGCTCTTATTATCAATTATACTCCCCCCTTATTATTATTCAATAGGTGTATATAAGTTATAAATAAACATTCTCTCAGGGGTGGTCCAGGCGTCACTTTGATCCTTACCCTCAACAAAAGCTTGCCAATTTTCCAGCGATGCTTATGCTAAAATCCTGACTTCTTCTACCCTACTCCTTTCTTTTCTCCTTTTGCTTGTTCCACCATTATCACTACTTTAACAAGCTCATACCCCAAATTCTCATCATACCCACTCTACAGAAAGATAATCCAATTATAGCTGAATTGGCTCTTCCAGTCTTCTAACTGTAAGTCTATGATTTTGTTTTGTTTTGATTTGGTTTTTTTCTTGCAATTCTTGATTCTGTGTTTATATGCATGCATCTGTGTATGGGTTCTTCAATTCTGGGCACATTTGGAGTTGCATTATCTTAAAGTTTGGATCTTTAAGTCCAACTTGCTTCATTTCTTCATAAAAATGCATGTTTTTGGTTTTCTTGGTGATTTAATTTGGGATAATCTTTGATTATATTGATGAAGGGTGTGTATTCAATTCATAACTTTGTGGTAATAGTTTCTGGTGAAGTTTGGTGTCAAAACCAGAACCACCGAATTCTTGTAGTTCATGTTCTGTTTGACATTTATTTTGAGTTTGTTTTCAAGTCGTGGAAATTGATCAGGCTAGATCATTGACAATGGCAATATATATAGATCAAATGTCTGCCAACTTATTTTGAGTAATTTTAATGAGCTTCTTATTATTATTAATTTATTATCACTCGTCATTTTCATTTTTATGGTGGACCCCCGTATTATAGAAATGAAGAGAAAATACAGAAAGATTTCACAATGGGTTGAGACATAATTTCCGGTAAAAAAATCGCCCCAAATATGAGTAAGATATAAAAGTGCACAAATAGAAACAATTACGTAGTAGTACTGTACTAGTATATTTTAATTTAGTTTCAAAAAAGAACTCATTCTATTCCATTAAAAGCACAAATTTTTCCTAATTAAGAGTAAATAAGTCATAATTTTAAAAGAAAATAATGATGATGCAATCTATCTACATTTTATTTCTGTTTAAAGAAATTTCTCGTGTGGTATATAATTTGTTTAAAATTGGGAGATAACGAACTGTTGGAAAACTGAGAATCTTTGGAATTATGTAAAACTGAGAATTTTTGGGATTATCAGTGGAAAACTTTGAAATACTCTGGAGTATATTTTTCTTACATCAAGGAACACTGAGTACTTTTAGGGGGTGTTTGGAACTGATTCTGCTTCTGCTTTTTTTTTAAGTAGAAGCAGAATCAGAATCAGTTTTCAGAAGCTGGTCATCCCCAGCTTCTAAAAAAATTGATTCTAGGAGTAAATTAGAGCACCAGAATCACTTCTGCACTTTCACCCAAACACTCCAACTTCTGCTTCTGCTCCCTGAAGAAGCAGAAGCAGTTTTAAGAATCAAATCCAAACACACCCTTAATTTTTTACGATATGTATGGGAGTTTGGGCCTTTGGGGATAATGGAAGGGGGATGCTTTTAATTGATGGAGGGGAATAACATATTGATATTTGGGAGTAATAAATTTGTAGAAGGAAAGTATTTGAAGGAATTGTAACTAAAATCACTTTGAAATATGATGAATTCAAATAATTTGATTGATATTCATTTTAATTTGAGTTTAATTTATCACTTAGTTAATTATCCTTCAAAACCCTTCAAATTAAGGAATTTAAAAATTGACTATTTAGAAGGTTTTAGAAGATTACCAAAACACTTAAAAATCATCCCCTCCTATTTTTTTAACTCTCAAACATTAAAAAGAAAGTCATGAATCCCATCAATCTTCCCTTTCTCGTTTTTTAGATAACCATTTAAGAAAATTAGCTAATGTATTGACGTATTGTAGATAACTTTCCTCATTATCTCGTTTTTTTTTAACTTTCTTGCATTATTAAAAAAAAAAAATTGCATTGAACCTTTTCAGTCAATTTTATCCGAGTCAGTTAAACTTTTTTGCATTGTGGAGAGGGTGCCCATTTTTTTCTCTATTTCACTTCTATTTGAATATCCGATTCTGTGAATGCAAGTTTTGCTTTTGTCATTCAATATAACCGTAGCATTGTTTCTAAATACGGAGTATGTAGCAAATAACTTTTAATTCTTCATACTAATTTAAATATTATCAAAAAAGAGTTGTCTTTATATTTTGTCACACATCATCAGTGAAAGAAAAGTATATTAGGAATATAATGATTCAAAGGGCACATGTCAAATCTCTTCGGGCTCCTTTGATTTTTGGCGACGATTCAAGTCTCAATCCACTTCAAATTGCAGTGTTTCAAGTGTAAACGTTTTGACCCAAACCCAAATATCACTACAAAAAAATAATGGGATTGACACGAGTTCACCAAAATTTATAGAAAATTTGGCACGAATACTTCAAATCTGTGTCAAAAACATTTTATCACGAAATATTTTTGACACGAAATCATCAACCAATTCATGTCAAATTTGTGTCAATCCCGTAATTCTTGTGTAGTACCTATCTACACGACAATTGCTATCAGGCTCGGTGACATCGCCAATTTGGTTTATTGTTTCATTTCACATATAAAATGTATTTTCTTTTGTGCATTAACATTCTAATTTTCCATTTACCTAACAAACCAAGTGTCATTTAGCTCAAGTTTCCCAAAGTCACTTTATGCTTTCTTTTTATTTATTTTTGGGTCTGAACAAGCTGTTACTCAATCATGTGATATGTTGGTCTTCAAAAGGTACACATCATATAAGGTGATGACTTTTCGGCATTCCACTACTGCCTGCCCTGTCAGTCTAACATGAACGGTTTCTTTGTGGAGATAAATGGAATATATCGCTTTCTTTTTATCTGAAAACAAAATCATTTTTCTCAATAATGATTCAACCTTTTAGGATCAAGGATAAATCATTTTTCCCAAAACATAAATCATTTTTTCTGTTTTATCTGTCTCACTTTCTTTTTTGAATTGTTTTAAAATATGTGTCGCGTTTTTTTGGAAGTAAATATGCGATCTACATCATTTCACTTTATTATACTTAAATTTCAATAAAAAAAATTATTTTTTAATCATTTTATTAATAATTGTGTCAAATCAAAGCAGGACACATAAAATGTGACTAATGGGTCATACTCCTCTCCATTTACTCTCTCCATTTCTTTTTCACTCTATCTCTCTCCTTAAAAATAATAATTAAACATAATATTTTCTTTTTCTCTATCCCACCATTTCCCCACCTCTCTCTATCTCTCTCCTACTGGACCATTCTCATTAATGGAGAGGAGCAAAATCCGTGACTAATGTAGTAATTGAATTTTGATTCTGGTTTCGATCAAGAAAAGTGGTAGGAAATGGTTTCCATTCGGGGTGTGTTTGGTTGGATGTGAAATTATTACTTACATGCTAAGTGCATAGAGGTTTACCATTTACACCGTTTAGTTTGATTATTTAATGTAAATAAATCTATGGGACTTGAAAAAATTTGTGCACTGTACCATATATATATGGGAGAATGATCAAATAAGCCCTTGAACTTTCATAAAAAGTGCAAATAAGCCCCTTTATAGGAGGCTATGTCCGCCCATCGCCATTTGGGGCGGTTTCCGGTGAAATTTTTTGATGAATTTTTTTGAGTATCTTCTTCATTAAGTCTAGTTTACTCATGCCAAATTTCAGCTAAAAATTCAATCTGGAAGGCAGTCAAATGAATTTTTGAAGATAACTGTGCAGTTAGACAACGCAATATATTTTCATAAAATCATTTGACTGCCTTATCGGTTGAATTTTTAGCTGACATTTGGTATGGATAAACTAGACTTAATGAAGAAGATGCTCAAAAAATTTCATCAAAAAATTCCACCGGAAACCTCCCCAAATGGCGACAGCCGAACAAAGTCTTGTGTAAAAGAGCTTATTTGCACTTTTTATGAAAATTCGATGACTTATTTGATAATTCTCCCTATATACTTCGTATATTTTATGTTGGAGACTTGGAGAGAGGTGAAATACTTTGTACAAAAATATGTTTTATACAAAGCCTTCCAATCACCTAACGGGCAACTAAAAATAGATTACATATCTAGCTAAACAAAGTGATCGGTTGATTTTCTAAATTTTGGATGCAATCATCTTGCGTGTAAATACTTAAACGTGTAATCATGCAAATTACCAAACGAGTCGATATGCTCCTACTTCATAGTACTGTATATATATGTGGCATAATTTAAGGATGTCATATAATTAACTCCCTTGCAGGTATGGAGGCTCCTCCAAACAGTTTAAACCTTCCAATGGAGATTTCCCAGAGGCAGAGATTATCCCATAGTGGTAACAATATTCTGGTAAGAGTTTTAGAATGCAGTGTTTGGATCGATGCTAATTGTTTTCTAGTCTAATGACAAACCGTAGTTGCAAAAATCTCTAGGCGGGTCCGGCATATCCCCAGTACTAGGGATATTTATTATTTCAAAAGTACAACTCCGTATATTTATTATTTAGTTCCCTGCTTCCAAAGGCATGTCTACATGCATTTACTTGCCGGGGATGTAGCTCACCCGATGGCAACATGGTGCGATAAAATGGATGCAAGTTTTTCCCCATATATTACATCTACATTTTTTGTAACACTTGATAAAGTACAAAACTATGTGTGTTCTTCATTTGCTATTATTGGCCTTAAATTTGTATATCTTTTATCTAGTTAAGCAAATATGTCCCTTTTTGTTTTAACTTCAGGAAAAAAGCAAATTTTTAGTTTATTGAGTCTATCCAAACTTTCTACTTCAAAGTTTCATAGCTTAATGCTTAGAGACTCTCAGTGAAGTGAAGGCTAAGCGACATAATTATTCATGTTTTTAATATAAGTCTCAATGTAAATAATGTATATGGTCTCTTAAAAATGAAATGATGTGAAGAAAAGGACATAATTCATGCATGCAAGTCCAATCTTTTAGATCATGAAATGGAGGTTTTATACATTCGATGAGGGACTAAAAAAGAATACGGATGTTTTTACTTGGACCGTTTTCAGTCCTAGACCATACCAGACCACACTTAAACAGACCAAACCAGATCAGACCAGACTAGGCCAGACCAGACTTCCATAATTATAAAATACACATAGAGCAGACATTTATCAGACCTGACCAAACCAAGCTTAAACAGACCAGACCATACCAGCAAATTTCAGTCCAAGTAAAAACATCCTTATAAATAACAGATTTGCAAGGACCTAGAAATTAACTGAGTTTTATCTGGATTCTTTGTTTCTGGAGTGATTGCAGAGCTGCATTTTATATAACTTGTGGGTTTCTTTACATGTTCTAGTGTACATATCAAATGACAGCAAACCGATGGTCTGGGAAGATAAACTGTCCTAACGAGCTCCCAATGAAGAAGCTTACCAATGAGGAAACAGGCAGAAGACCAAGCAAAGGGCTGAATGCGCCTAGCGTAATAGCCCGCTTGATGGGAGTGGATATGTTACCTTTATTAGATTCAAAGCCAATTGCAAGACAGAACAATATAGAAGCAAAAATGAGCAGCCCTTCAAAAGAGGAAGAGGTGAGAGATATCCTTGTTGATCCCTCCACTCTTATCACGACCCGTTCTTGCAGATTCGGTTCATTTCATGATTATGATGAGTGTTGTGATCCCAGCATGGAGTTGGAGAAGCCAAAACCTCGTCGAGAACATCCTCAGGAAGAAGAACTACAGAAGTTTAAGAAAGAATTTGAGGCATGGCAGGCTAAGAAAACCAACACATTTTACCTCAAAAGTACTAATTCAAAAAAGCAGTTCAAGAAACATGAGACGTCCCCCGCAAATATTGTGGTTTTAAGGCCTTGTTTTGATGACATTGAAACCATTTATGGATCCCGAGAAAGCACTCCAAGCATTTCGGAGGAAAGAGGTAATAGCATGGATGATTTTCTTGAAGAGGTGAATGCAAGATTGAGGAATGAAACATCTCCTTATAATCATGACCATGAAAAACTGGAGTCAGAAGTCCCCACTAGGAGCCTCATTCGCTCTTTGTCCACTCCCATATCAAGAACGTCATTCGGATGCCTTCTCTTGGAAGCAAGAGGGGAGCTAGACGGCATTGAAAAGTTCACTTTGAGTGCTCATCAGAACAAGAGAAAACAGAAGTTGAGTCTTTTGGAAAAAGTTTCGAGCTTCAAAACAAAACTTTTTAGTAAGAAACTTCAATCAAGGGACGAATCACACGGGACTAAGTATTTTCGCAACGCATCAGAAATATCGACTTCTTATGACATAAATGTATGTTTTAAAAATTTCCCTTAACATTCTTCCTTTCATAGAATAAAAAAAAGATACAGGGATCATCATGCTATGTTTATTAACTTTGGTTTCATTTTAGGAAGATTACACAGAAGTTCCACCAAGTCCTGCATCTGTATGCAACAGTTTTGGTGAAGAATTTTGGAGGCCAGGAGATTATTCCAGGACTTCCAGTCCAGCTTCCACCCCAGATTTACATCCACTGGTTGAGACTGACATCCCTCGTGTGTTTAGAGAAATCAACTCTAATCTTAGCGGTAAGAATCTTATACTTCAAAATGTTAAGTCATCCCACATTGACATAATACCCCAACCTGTCTCTAAATCATTTATGTTTTTTTTCATCCATACCAAAACTATTGTCCATTTTCTTTTAAGGAAAGCAATATTTTATCGGTGTAATTATAGAGTTCTATGATACAGTTGATAGAGCTAATAGCATTAATTATTGGTCCAGAGTTGAGGAGGCAATTGAATGAGTTGGAAACGGGGGAGAACATGATTGATGACCGGCCTCCTCTTGAGGAAGAAATGGTGGAGATTCATGACACTGCCAAAGCTTATTTAAGGGACCTGCTTATTGCTTCTGGTCTCTATGATGGGGATAAATATCCATGGAGATGGGACACGTTTGGGAAGCCCATAAGCAATCGCATTTTTGAAGGAGTTGAAGAGTCTTATGGGAAAAAGGCTGAGGGAAGCGAAGGGGAGAGGCTGAATCACAAGATGCTTTGTGATTTATTCAATGAAACAGTTCTAAACTTGCTTCGGGCACCTTCTAAAGAGGCTATTTGTCCAGTGTCCTATCCTCCCCAGGGAAGGAAGTTACTGGATTGTGTTTGGGAAATGACTCAAACTCACATTTATCCTGGGGAAGATCTGTCTTATTGTTCCATTGATGGTATAGTGTCATACAACTTAAGGTCCACCCCATGGTCAAGTGACGAAGATGCGAACGCTATAGGCAAAGATGTTGAGTACCATATAACTAGAGATCTGATTCAAGAGATTATAGAAGATATGCAACCATTGTCTTGAAAGGAAAAATGGTTTGAGTCAGGAGCATTTTGAGTAAGGCTATGTTTGGAAAGTACTCATCAGCTTATTCGTTTTATTCTTCATGCTATTCAGCAGAAGAAGCAGAATGTATAGTCAAAACAAGTAAAATCACTCACTTATTCGGCAACCAAGCATTTTTTCTTTCTTGCCAAACAGACCCTAAGTTTGGAAGTGGTGATTTGCCTCAAGCATGGATTACAAGTAGACTGCAGGGGCACAAGGTTCTATACGATAAAACCATAGGTTTTTTTCTTTCTAAATTTTTGTTTCCAATTATATTTGGTGTGGCATCATCATTGTATATGTGCTGACTCTATTAATTGATTCAGTTTGAGAATATGTAAATCCTATCTTTAGTTTAGCAGTTTAGATTGGTTCATAACTTACATTTGTTCTAGCGGAGACTCATTCCTTTAAATGCATGACATAATCTAATAATAATATGAGTTTTTTTTATCACTATAACATGCAATATAATATGTATTCATATTTTTTTTGGGAAGGAGAGAAAACGTGATGAAAAAATATTTGTTCATCCTAAGTATATTTATTTCTTGGGAAAAGTACAAAAAAAGTACTTGTGGTTGAGCCCATTTTCAGATAGGGTCATGTGTTTCATTCTTTATCAAAGTGGTTCATGAGTTTGAATTCCTTTATCACAAGAGGGTCACGCCGCTAAAATCGTCTGAAAAAGATCATTAAAAGTAACTCCGATTTGCAAAAATGTCCGAAAAATTAAAAGAAAAATAGCGGAAGATGCGCCTCAATAAGATGATCACTAGGTCATCTTTCTTTTTTGTTTTCAGCCACCCTTATAACCGAAAAGTCCATCGGAAAAGTGATATTAGCAAAATCATTTTTAAAAATTAATTCAAAAGATCTGAAAAATCCAAAGGCGAAGGTGGTTTGGAGGTCATCTTGAAAGTGGTATTTTTCTTTTAATTTTTCGGGCACTTTGGAAAATCGGAGTTACTTTTAACGGTCTTTTTCATACGTTTGTAACGGTGTGACCCTCTTGTGATAACGTAATTCAAACACATGAACTACTTTGATAAAGTATGAAACACATGACCCTATCTGAAAACTAGTCTTACCACTAGTACATTTTCCGTACTTCCCTTATTTCTTTTATAGTGGTTCTAGCTCATTTAACTAATCTATTTCTATGATAAAAACTAAAAATCTAAACATATCTCAATCTTTTAAACTTTTTTTGCCTTCACGTACCATGTTCTGCATTCCAAACACAGCCTTATGGTGAACTTCACTGATTCTTTTTAGCTTGAGAAGTGAAACTGGATCTTCGATCCATACTAGTAGTTCTAACAACGAAAAGAAGTGTTTCAACCAACATGCCCACAACCAATCCGAGGATACCACCAGCAGCACTCATGGCTGGACTGTGACTAAACAATGCCCAGAAAGCAGCATATCCAACCAGAAAGCCGGTGAACATAATAAGCACAACGTGCAAGCCGAATCCCAATTGAACCTTGTAAGAAGAGAAAGGCTGTTCCACTTTCTTCTTGGGGGTTATGTCCTTGACCAATTCCTCATAGGCTTTCCTCTCGGATGCCTCCACAAGCTTTCTTAGCCGAGCCTTCAGCTCCTTGCTTTTTTCTCTTGGCTTGGGGCTAGAGAACATGAAATCGGTTCCACATAGAAGGGAGAGGAGTTCGGGTCTTTTTGTCGGGTTCGATCCCATCCATACGGATCGAAGAGCTTTGTAAAGAATGGAGACTAACAGAGAGAGTGAGGCAGCAAGGTCTCTCAGATCTTCATCGAGGTGAGAGTCCTGCGTTGAAGCGACGAGAAATGAACGAATTGCATCCGTCGCTGGTATCACAAGGCCGCTGTCTACGGCTGCACAGGCGGAGCACGGGGAAATCGCGCTTCTTTGGTCAGTGTGCATGCTGTATTGTTCTTGGGCCTTCAAAATGGGCTACCGTCTGCATCGGCACTTCGGTGCTCAGTGGTCGATGTTGTCGCGCCGGTCGGTACCCATGGAAGTCATCGACAAGAGAAGGTGATTAGGAGTTCTGATGAGATGCGAAATTAAGATTTGCGGCAATTGCCGATTGATAACCGATTTGCCTCAACTGCCTGTTTCTTACTTTTAGTGTTCAATAGCTTCAAACCTTGCTCCAGGGTTGGAGACTTTTCCAGTTAATAATATGTATTCATAATAGAACTAAGATTTGTAAATATAGGCTCTTCACTGACACTGTTTTTCGGCTTATCATGCTTATCAGTCAGCTTTTTCATCAAATACGTAATTTTTGCTTCCGTGCGTAAAATTGTGTAATAAGCAGAAAAAAATATGGTTGAAGTTACTTTTCTGGCTGTATTGGCTGAAGTTGCTGTAGATGTCATTTTAGTTATTTTTACATATAATTTTTTCCTTATTTATTAATAAAATATATTTTACAATTATTTTTTCCTTAAATCAACAGAATCAGCCAATGCAGCCACTTCAGCCAAAACTTCATAAATTTCAGCAGAATCAGCCAAATCACCCGATTTTCGTGCTACCAAACGGGCTCCTAGTCCCTAGTACTCGTATTATACATCTAGTTAGTACTGCTTCTGTCTCTTAAAACTTTGTCAAAGATGACCGTCACGGAAAATAATAAAGTAAAAATTGTGTGGTTGAGATTTGTGCAGATGAAAGAGAAATAACAGAAAACACAAAATAATTGATTAAAAGGGAAAGTGACAAAGTTTTTTGGAACGTCCCAAAAAGGAAAGATGACAAAGTTTTAAGGACGGAGCGTGTAGTTATGTACACCGACCCAAAACGGCTTTCGCTAAATGAACAATAATGTACTTTTAGTGAGCATCTAACTTATTTTATTGAGTATTATTATGAGGTTAACAATGAGTATCACGATCTCTACTTCATATCTTCTAATTCTTTTTCTTTTTCTTATTTTTTCTTTTATAAATTATATCTATAATACACTCCTATTAATTTCAATATGCGAGTCTTATGTACGCTAATACTTTTGAAATATGCATTAATATGACATTTTAAAAATGAGCATAACATCGGTACCAAATGAGCACACATAACTTACAATGTGCACATTGATTTGAAAATTGTAAGATTTTTTTTAGTTTAAAATCACGACATTTTAATTGAGCATCAAATCTCTGCTATTGAGATGAAATTCACGGTTTCTGGTGAATGAGCATCAGACTATTAAACTATATTTACAATCATTTCCTATAAATTTTAATATGCGAATCTAATGTAATGGAAATTTTGAAATGTTCATTGATATGACATTTTATAAATGAGTATAACATCAATACCAAATGATCATATGTAACTTACAAAATGCACATTGATATCAAAATCATAAAATTTGTTAGTTGAATATCACGACATTTTCATTGAGCATAAAATCTTCTCTATTGAGATGGAAACCACGGTTTCCGTTTAATGAACATTAATGAACTTTTTAATGAGCATCAAACATATTCTGTTGAGTATTAGGAGTCTAATATTGAACACCGCGATATCTGATTCAATCATTTAATTATTTTTTCTTGTATTTTATTTTATAATAATTTCTTAAATTTTATGTATACTTCTATGAATTTCAATATGCAAATCGAATTTAATATTATACTTTTGAAGTAATCATTGATATGAAAATTGTAAACTCTTTTATTTGAGTATCAAGACATTTTCATTGAGTATCAAACTCTCTCTATTTAACCTATGAACTCTACAATTGAGTATACAAAATTTGAAGATCTTATGTTTTATCAAAATATTTTCATTAAGTATCTTGTTTTCTACTATTGAGCATCATTATGATGTGTAATGAGCATTAAAACTCTCAAATTGAGTATATAAAATTTCAAAACCTCATTTAAGTACATGATGGATAGTGTACCCGGGGTAGCTTATCCGAGCGGTTATTGCGGGGAATAACCTAGAAATAGGTCAGAGTAAGTAAGAGAGAGTGAATATGTATTCAATATAGAAAGTTGTCTATTTACAAGGAGAAACAGCCACTGTTTATAGTAGCTACAAATGTTAGGCGGTGACACATGTCAAACATGTGATGGCCGAAGGTCACCTCAATCGGGGTGGCACCGGCAATCACACATGCACCGCATTAAATGCGGTGGTTGGACGTGACGCCGCATTAAATGCGGTGGTTGTCTGTCTCTAAAGGAAATCTTCGTCGAGTCTGCTATATGCCGAGGGCATCATATAGTCGAAGGCATTTATATAGCTGAAGGTGTCATAGAGCCGAGGGCTACATACTGTCAAGGGCTAATATTCTAGCCAGAAATTCCCAAAAGCTTTGTAGGTCCAATATCAAGTTGTCTTATAGAATTTGGAACCTTCGGCCACAGAGCCGAAGGTGTACTCTATAATAAAGTCAAATTTATTTCCTTAATTTGTGTTAACTCAAAGTGTGAAGTTTATTTAGGACGGGATGAAATATATTTTATCAATAGGATCTATTTTAGTATGAGTGAGAACGGATAACAAATTTAATGTTCTTAACAAGAAAGCATCTTTTGAAGCCATAGGCTTCGAGAAGATGAGGTCGACGAAGGGTCAGATGAATATGATCGTGATTTGATTATTTGCAGGTATAGATTCATAGAAGTGGAATGATTTAATTGCTTGAGGTTTGTTCAATGTTAAGAGCGTTCCCGTGTAGCTAGAACCGGGAAGAGATGAGGATAGTAAAGCCGGTTTTGGGCCGGTAGTATTCCTTTGTCGATTGAGTTGAAAAGTTTTTTTGAATAATGCTAATTAAATAAATAATTCTCAAAATACCGTTGGTATTAAAATAATTCTCGAAATACTGTTGGTTTAACAAATAATCTAGAATTGATGAGGAACATTCTCAAAATATTTCATAAAAAAATTCCACTGGGAAGATCCTTTGATGATGTTGTTCGCGTGAGGTTCCGGTCAGGACGCCATCACAAAAGGGTGGCCCGGACACCTTAATTTGAGATGGTTCCCGGTGGTATGTTTTGATAAAAAAAATTGTGTATGATCGTCATAAAGTCTAGTTCATCCATATCAAATTTGAGCAAAACATTCAATCAGAAAAGTCGTCAAATAATTTTTGAAAGATAACTGCGTCGGATGATACATATAAAACGCAGTTATCTTTAAAAAATTATTTGACTGTTTTCCCGTTTGAAATTGGTTCTGAAATTTGGTATGGATTAACTAGACTTGATGAATAACATACACAAAACAATTCAGCAAAACATACCACCGGGAACCACCTCAAATTGAGGTGGCCGGACCACCCTTTTGTCATGATGTACTGACCGGAATCCCCTGCGGACGACACCATCAGAGGGTTTTCCCGGTGGAATTTTTTGATGAAATGTTTTGAGCATGTTTCTCATCAAATTTAGTTTATGCATACCAAATTTCAGATCAAAATTCAATCGGGAAGCTAGTTAAACAAATTCTTGAAACATACTGTGTTTTATATGTGTACAAAATGTGCCGTAAGAGAAGAGCCGCAACTTAGAGTGGCGACTTTTGTACTATAAGAGAAGAGCCGTCACTTCAAGTGGCGCCTTTTCTTAACCACGGTTAACCCAACAATATTTTGGGAATTATTTTAAACCCAACAGTATTTTGGGATTTATTTATTTATTTAGCATTATTCTGGAAAAAAAATCCGAGTTGCAATTAGGGCTGGTTTCGGTTCGGGTTCCGAATCGATTTGGTATATAACCTAACCGAACTGAACCGAAATACAGAAATATCAGGTTGTGAGGTGCTCACCGTACAGCCGATTGTACGGTATTATTTACTCTATTTTGTAGTCATTTTAGACATTTTTTATTCTTTTATTTTCTATAAACGATCACATCCTAAAGTGGATATTCTCTATAGTGTTACTGTGTTAGTGCACGCCAAAGATTTTGAATTCCAAACCTTTCATTAACATCGTATTCCGATGTTGGTTTGAAAATGTCAAAGTTTTTTGACATTTTCAAAACTTTGACCGGCTATATCTTTTTATTGAAAATAATTTATAATATAAAAATTATATAAAAATGTTCTTTGTTAAAATACTTTCATAAAAATGTAAAATTTATAAATTCCATAATATTATACTGATCAAAATCAATGTTCAAATTTTTTGTAATGACAAAGTTTTTTGGGACGGAGGTAGTATAACTTTATGTTATTGTGCCATGAATAACCAATATGAAGTGAATTAAGATTTTAATTTAAAACTAAGATGAATAGACAATCAATGAATTTTTGAATGTCATGCATGTATGATCAAGTTTTTCATGAATACGAGTTATTTTATACTACCTCCGTCTCATAAAATTTGGTCAACTATCTTTTTTTTGCGTCTCGAGAAACTTAGTCATTTCCATTTAAAATATTAAATATGTGGCTAAAATTATTTCGCTTTCCTTCTCTGCTCAGATATCAATTACACAGTTTTTACTTTATTATTCTACATGCATGTCAACTTTGGCTAAATTTTATGAGCCAATTTGTTGGCCAACTTTACTATTCTAATAGCATATCTTTTTTGTTGTTCAACTTAATTAAAAATTCTATTTTCTCAAACTAACAATAGAAAGGCACTTGATATTTAATAGAGAGATTTCCCAAAATAGGAGTAAATGAAGTTTGAAATTCCAAAATAGGACTACTTTGTTTTTATTCCAAAATGGGACTAACATGGTAGTATTTACTGTCATCTTGTAGCCGTGACTGCTAAATAGTTGCAGTACAGTGCATTTAACATGACAATATTTACTATAATTAATGACAGTATTTTTCAATCATGACAGTATTTTTCAAAAACGTGACTAACATGGTAGATTTCCCAATACCGAATGCATGATGGCAAATTATACCGTACACCCGGATGTACGGTCCTCATCGTACATCCGGGTATTTTTGAAATTTTTATCAACTTCTCTGTCCGATGATTCAAGCTTCCGTTGCTTCTTTCATGGAGTTGGAGTCCGCTAGCGTGCCTGCCCTGTTCTCCGCTCGAAGGACAGCTTCAAATTGGGGAAAACAAAAAACTTACTCAAATTGGACGAAACCGGTGTCAAAAGCTTTGCCTCAGCAAGACGAGTCCAGAACAACTCTCAGAATTTGATTTAAACATGTCGTTTGGGAGATACGAACAAAAAACCAGACTGCTCTCAATAGTGGTGGGCACAACTGCTCTTTGCTAACTCCGGCCAAACAGCACCTCCGGCCACAGGAAAAGGGTTGGGGAGGTGCGCCTAGATGTGGCGACCCCCACAACACTCTTTGATTCCAACAACAACCGTCAAATTTTGGATTAAAGACCATAAAAT